TTTGTGGCTACAGAGGCGTTGTTCCTTTTTGTTATTCAAACAGCATTACATGCCAAATGTGTGTCTTATCGTGTGCCATCACTATAAGGGATTAGAGTATATTTAACTGTACACATTATATAGGCTACACTAACGTGACGTTTAGGCGGTTCGTTTAACTATTATACGTGACGTAGGTTTTTTGGGGGTTGGTTAATGAAAGTGTTCCTAAACGCGTCATTAATTTCTTGACGACCTAATATAAGTACTACCATAATATTGGTATGTGGCGCTAAGCGATTAACATGCTTAGGTTATCATTAAAACATCTCAAAACGTTAACTCTTTAAAATAGCGTTTATTAACTCTTTATCTAACCATAGTATAAGTGAGAGCTTTTAGAAGATGTTTTAGTTTTTGTTATATTTTTTTTGCCTTCAGTTGTTCATTACTAAATATGTATATTAAATCAGCATATCTTATTACAACAACGGGTATTCCATACACAGCAATTTTCAATTAATATAGAAATTATTTGTTTCACTGTGGCATATAGCAACGACAACAATATAAAATTTAGTAAGAAAAAATTAACTGTTAAATAATTATAGTTGTGTAACCATCTTCTTCTTTACAGTAAAGAGAAAGTTTCGGTAAAATTTCCTGATTGATTTTAATGTAAGACATTGTGTGATATAATTTACCAAGCAGTTGTACGAAATATATACTCACATGATGATAAACGAGAAATGTTGCAGGTGTTTTAAACTTCATTTCCTAGGTGTCCAGAATATACCTTTTCATTATGATATGCTTTGTAATTGATAGTTGTATAGGTGTATGAAGTGTAGATGTACTTGGTAAAATTTAATTTATGCAGATAAAAGGCCCTTCTGATGCTATTTGTTGTTGTTCTTCAGATTGGTGAGAACTGTTTTCATTATATATGCCTATACCTGTTACTGTTCATTATATATACCTATATCTGTTACTGTTCATTATATATGCCCATACCTGTTACTGTTGTATGTATATACCTGATTTTATACAAGATGACCTGAGAATTGTTTGTTTGTAGTTAAGCACAAAGCTACACTATGGGCTATCTGTGTTCTGCCCACCACGGGTATCGAAACCCAGTTTCTAGCGTTGTAAGTCCGCAAACATCCAACTGTGCCACTGGAGTGGCGGTTTGCCTGAGTAATTATGGTTGAAAGCAAACGTACATTATATGAAACATGAACACGTGATGCTTCATAGAAGTTGAAAATAAAAATAACAACCTATCTTAGCTTCTACTACTAATTATGAATAGTACCTATAATTTGTAAAAGCCTAATTTACCTCCAGTAATATAAAATACATTTTTATACATATCGTGACCACTGATAAAACTAAGTGCAAACATATAGTTGCACTTTTGCTCTGATGCGTGTGTTAGCAATAGAAAAACATGTACGCCAAGCCAAAACTCTACATAAAACTGTTGAGCACTTTTATAGATGTGAGTGATAATTTGAAATTTAAAGAAATCCATAAGAATGCGAATACAAGAATCTCTAACTAAAAATCATCGAAGAGCACATTGATCAAAAGTTTCATTTAAATACTTATAGATGTGTTTAATATCATATGCATATATATATATATATATATATATCAATACTTTAAAATATGTCGAACACAAAACAAAGTTCTTTACCATGTGACAAAATTCATATGTATTATGAACATCTATAGAACGTTTTTGCGTGGGCTCACGCCCAGTAAAGTTGTCTATAGCTAATCGTTATGTTCTTCCTTGTTTCTGTTTTATGTTGTTGTTGTTTTTATGTGTCACAATAAGCATTAGGTTTTGTGTTATTCAACTGAGTAGTATATTGACTCATGTAATGCTACATGAACTCATATTTCAGCCATGTTGTTTTATAAGTTTCTAGTCAAATTTAAGTGTAACTCGTTGATACAAAAAAAAAGGGGGGAAAGCCAGCAAGCTTAATCCTCTTCTTGTTTGCGCTGACACCAAAATGAACTTGACCCCCAATGGCTCAGCGCTTCTTTGGGCTTATGAGGCTAAAAAATCGAGTTTCGATACCCGTGGTAGGCACAGCACAAATAGCCCATGGTGTAGCCTTGTGCTTAACAACAAACAAACAAACAAACAATTTATATATTCTCAACTCTGATCTCACTATTCTCTCTCTCTCTTTTCCCTAAGAGTAAAAAAAAATCGTGCATAGTGACGCTCAGACAACAATGTAATAATCATAACTTTAAAATAAAATGTATGCGAAGTATTTGTTTTAACCTGATCATCTGGAACACATGGAAAGCTTTCTTATGCAAAATTGTTAGTTTACACTTAAATATCACATATAGCAGATAACAACAAAGCGAGATTCAATAGAGAATGTCCGCAAACACACCTATGTATTTTTAGTAATCAATAAATTTAAAAATATACAGCGACATTAATAAATAAATGTACAAATAGATTGCGACTTCTTCCACAGAACAGGAGGAAAGATCAAGCAGCTATTTGTCTGTTAATACTGTTGCGTCATCAAGATCACGTGACTATTCTCACGCCCTCTACTTTCTAGAACTATCCTGTACTTTGGCGAATGCTCTAGCATTTACTAGATATAGGGTAGTTTGGTATATAAAAGAGGGTGACAACGTAACGGTAATGTAATGTGTGTGTAGATAGTGAGTAATTGAACTGCAGTCAGAAGTATTGTTGACATAGCGTTTGTTATACTGTTACGTTTCCGTTTGTTAATTAACTTTCCGTAACTTCGTTCCGACGAAACTTTAGCGACACAAGTCTTTACTTAATAAAACTGGTTTATTCTTTCCGAATACAACTTTACGATACACTTATTTTCAACAATCGCTCCTGGATAACATGAACAAACAAATCGTTGCTACAACTATATGACAAAACAAGCATTGTGACTTATATTAGCCAATTAAAGTAAAACATTATACGTGTTATAATAGCTTTTCATCTATAGTTAATATTAAGTGATGAACTGCTTTTTACCCAGAAAAGTTTAAAACACAACAAGAACAAACAAATCGTTGCTAAAACTATATGACAAATCTGAATAAAGCTATATATTAAGAAATATAAATCATGAAGCAAAGAACATTCATTCTCTTGTTTTATTCAGTGTTCCAGCAAAACTATATTAATGGGCACACAATGCCTAACAATTAAAAGCAGTGGGCGAATACTCTGTCTTTACGTTCATATACTCAGTATTTGCGAATTTCGCATAATTACAAGCATAGGCGGATTAATGAACAATCTAACCAAGCTATATCTTGCCCTGCGCCCCCACAAAAAAAAAAAGGGCCCCAGAGAGTCAACAAAAACTTTTCTATTATTCAATGACTGTGATTGCTGTTCATAATTCATAATTTCAGTTTTCTGCTTTTTTCATGAATAGACCAGTTTCAGGTTACTATCTATAAATAGACAGATCAGACTCGTAGCCATGAAGTTTATGTGCGGTTGGCTCAATATCTTGGAAGGCTTATTTTAGTTACTTTAGCTCTTTTAGATCAGATGTTTGATCATTGTTCTTGTTCATGGACCCCTTATGGAGACGAAATCATAATCATTTTTAAAATTTTATCTAATATAATTTTTAATTCTGTTAAAATATGAAGATGTTCTATAAATATATTATATACGAATAAATATCTTGTTCTATTAATACCGCTTTTTTTGCCTAATTTGTAATGTTCAACATGCAAATACTATTTGTATATCTATAATTCTGTAATATAATATATATATATATATAGGTGTCTTTGCTCTATCTTAGATTCCCCCTCGGGTTTTGATGCTAGTTCTCTAACATAACGTTAGTTGCCTTTTTTACTAGCTAAAATTATGTTTCATTTGTACTTCCGGTAGTCCTGAAATGAATTACCTAACATTTTGAACCTCTCTTTCACTGACCCCTAGTTCACATTGAGCTCTGTTCATCTACGTGTACAGTGGCTGCAACAGTCTCTCTTAAACACGTTATAAACCGCCCTCCTGTCGATCCAGTGATGTGTGAAGTATCGTATAACCGCTAGAAAAAGTTGTTCAGCCGACAAACAAGCTCAATACACTTTGTGCTAATTTGTTTAAAGCAATTGTAAGTTACAATACTAAACTTTTACCACAGTTATTCTTGATCAGGGCGGGATTAAGCTCTCGAAGGGCAGGTATTTAGACTACGTTGTTATTTTTTTTTCCAACAAAAACACAGAATAGTTAACGTTGTATTTACGTGGTGGTAATAACTAACGAACTCGAGTTTTCCAGATTTCATAAACACTGGTTTATTCATGGTATTAAAATTTAATTGAAAAGAGCAGACAGATAATACTTTGACGACTAACTATTTTCAAATTGTACGGAAGGATATTAGTCATGAAACTTACAGGATTTAATTCAAGGGATTAAAATAGTCAAGAGTACAAAAAAAAAGTTTAAAATTACTGGCAGATCTAATAAGTAAAAACAGTGCTTCAATCTACTTATTTAGTTCAAAGAATCATGGTAAATGAGTTTGGGAAGACAGACCGAAGACTAAGTCTGAAAGTGCTTTTAGAGGTAATACGAAGACCGTATTCACGCTAAGAGGATCGATTTTAAGCAATTAATTATATGATTAGCGTATGTTAAATATAAGAATAACACTATAAGAACTTAAAGTAAAACTGTAGACAGTTAAAATAACAGCATAATTACATTTTACCCTCAAATTACTCATTTCTATACCGTTCACTACCGGTAAAGTTTATATACTGCATGATATTTTTTTGATAATACTTTGTCTATACCAGTTACAACACTCAGTGTAAAGAACAGGTCCAATTCATCCATTTTTAAAACCCCAGCAGTAAATAGTGGCATTAATTGCAATATAACGGTAACAGTATTTACAACTATCTTGTGTGGCTCACATTTCGTTACCGAAGTACTTTATAACCAACAAAGTCAGGGACCCACAAACAACTGCCGTGCATAAGTTGTTAAGAAAATACATTTAAAAAAGTCGATGGAGTAAATCGATAATGTAATTTTATAAGACAACAACAATCATGACTCCGAATAGTATGAAAACACTACTTAAAAAACGATGTTCATAAAACTGGGGTTTCTTCTTTAAAATCCAGTATTAAAAGTTAGGACTCTGAAGTGCTTCTATATTTTTCATAAGTATCAAAATATACACGACCCTCCAATATATCTACAGAATTAGAACGTAATGGTAATCTTGGTATTGAACTTGATTTATTGTACATAGATTTTACAAGAATAGTATATAAATAGTTAAAATTTACATTTTACGCATCAAAAATTATAAAACTGCTTAATTAACTGAATATAAGATTAGTAGACACTTACAAATAATGACAAAAAGAGTAAAATAAGGCGTAAAACAGGTTCAGTAAAGTTGGTTTTGCGAATGGTTTTTATGAGATCTAACTGAATTTGTATGAAAATTTCATATGCCTATCATATTGATAATAATAAAAAGTTCTTATGATGCATGCATTTTAAGGAAGAAAATATCTACTACTATAAGTAAGGCTTAGAAAAGGATTAGAGATTTACCGAAAAAAATTGAATCCAAGAAACAGGCAGTAATGAGAATAATGTAATGTAACAAAAATGAAAATATAAACTCCCTACCCTTGTTATTAATGAAGACGTGTTGTAGGTATTAGATTCTGAAGAAAACAAACATACCATCTGCTTGTTGTTTTTTTATCTATTTACTTGAAATAATGTACAAACTGTGTTCCACACGTTTTTGCAACTGGTAATATTATTCATGAACTGGTCAAAGATTGGCCTTTTCGCTATTATTTAACATACACGTTTTGGAAATACTTAAAAGTGCAAAGGAATCAAACATTTATATAAGTTTTCGTAATATTATGAATACAGTACTATATGTGGAGAAGATGTGAAATTATAGAAGCCGATAGCAGTCACATGTTTAATTTAAATTTCCCGATATGTATGGAGATGTACATTTCAAACTATATAATCTTAGAAATAATATGTATCGTATTTTTAAACAAATTTCTTTAACCTATTTATCCACCAAATTGCTTGTGAGTCTATGCTGCTTACAGGATCCATGATGACATATAAGTTAGACAAAACATTTAAACAAAAGTGTCATCAATATTGCAATTAATTCAACTAATTACTCAATACGATGCAATAATGGCGACCAAACGATTTTGAAAGATATACAAATCAAATCGGTAATTAGAGATTAAGTGTAAAAAAAAACAAAAAACAAATTTGTTAACTTAATAATTTGTGTTAGACCTTTGTCTTTAAACATATGAATTTATCTTTCGAGATATCTTGTAGTGTTAGTTTGATCAAAAACTGCTTACATGTATCGGATTTCTTTGTCTATATAGAAACGTAAAAATCAAGATCAAATTGATGCCAGGCACGATAAAATCAGTGCTTGCAAGAAAATAATGACTACATCTTACCTAAGATTTTGTTCATCCAATCTGCCAAATCTTCTTTCAATGGTATCAGATTTTCTTCCTGTCTTTTGGCTATTTGAAACTTAAAATCATCCCACATCTGCTCGTCCGACATAGTCTTACACTGTTCTTTTCCTGCCATTTACAACTGTCTTGTTCCACTGCCCATGGAGTCTAGAAAACAATTGATATAGCAATGTTACATTAAGAAAATAATAGAGATTCATCCTACTTCTTTATTATTTATTAGCATATTAAACTGAAAAAAGAAGGAAAACATAATTTCGTAAAATTCATTTGGATCTCTTCAAAAGAGAGTAACATTTCTATGGACGAAAAATTATCTGTTGGCATTACTCTAACACTTTATGATCAGAAAGATGTTTTACTCTCCTACTAATAATTTTGCTGGAGGTATGACTTACATCATTATTATATTCGGCGGGCCCCTAGCGGGATCCAGGAGCTGAGCCCCTGATGGGAGGCCAAGAGGGAAGCTCTAGACTTTTAATAATTTTAGCAATATTTTAAGTCTTAATACCACTAAGTTACGGCTTAAAGTGCCGATTTTCTTTGTGAAATTTTCCGTGGACAAAGAACGGCCTTTAACAATCAACAGTATCATTTTGAGAAAAGAAAAAAACGTAAACATCTGCTCATTTAATTGGATAATTTATTGAAAATTTAAACACATTGTCAATAATTATTTTAAAGAGTTCAGTAATGCAGAATGGTGATAACTAAACGAAACATGCTTTACGTGTTTTTATTATTTCACTGAAGTCAATTCTCCCTGCAAGTTCGCTCTCAATACTAATGATGTATAGGTCATTCAGTCTTTCCTGTGTCATCGTGCTCCTCAAGAAGCTCTTGATGAGTTTTAGTTTGCTGAAAGATCTCTCAGCAGATGCTACTCTAACTGGCAATGTGCAGAATATTCGCAGTGCAATACGTGTGGAAAAAATGCCATCTAACTTGTACCTTTTTATTGTTTTTAAAAGTTGATATGGCCCCATATCTTCACCAAAGTTTGATGCATGTATTGCCTTAAGGTGTCCCGTTTCCTCTCGCATGGATTCTGAGAGATCGTCCACTAATCTTGCGCATGCAAGTTTGAGTTCCTCTTCTGTCATGCTTTGATATTGCCACAGAACGCAGAACAATCTATTAATTGTGTTTGCAGCGTCAAGCCGCTTTGACACTCCGTCAATCACCGAATCTATAACAACAATGAAGACATTCCGTTTGAATTCAGATTCAGGCTCATCAGAGTTTAAAGTTGGGGTATTTTTTATGAACCCTTGGGCACGCACGGGCCCCAGGGTAGTTGCCCCTTCGCCCCCCCCCTCTCGGTGGGGCTGAATTTGGGTAGATAGATATTATTACCAAACAAGTATGTATTGTATGACTAAAATTTACAACTTAAAATTCAAATAAAATATACCATTAAATACTAAAGGTGATAAAATCAGTAATCAGTACGTGAAAACAAATTTGAAAGAATAGGAATCATATGGCATGCAGGCATACCTACTCAATTACTCTTTATATTTTAAGAAGGTTTGGTACATATTGAGTATTTAGTCTTAATATAGAAGTCGATCAAAGGAGAAACTAAGTTTCACTCGCTCTATTTAGTCACAAATGAGTCATATGTGCTTTCCAATGATCTTTTCCACTGGCAAGTCAGGTGATACTCCAGGGATACAAAATCTCAGTCTGTAACAGCTTAACAACTTTTAAAACTTTTAATAACTTGCAACTTAACTTATAATTTTTAAGAACACATTTTTTAACATCACATCTTTCTCTCCAGTAAGACACTACACTTTACACTTGTCTTTAATATTTTATTTTGTTTTGAACTAAGGATTGTTTTATTGTGTGTCCAGTATTTTTCTTTGCACCAAACTCAGTCAAGTTAGATTTATGCGTTACAACATGTTTTCTGTTATCCTCGATTCCTACCTAATTACTTGATGAGAGAATAGTGAAACGGAGAAGAACACAATAATAAGTAATGCTAAGAATATTCTACAAAGGGTTTAAAAGGGTACTAGTTCCTTTCTGATTCAGTACAACTCACTACTGCACTAAGAAGAAAGGTATTTGATAACTTAAATCTGAACAGCACCCTATGTAATATATGGGTTAACTGGCCATATCAGAAACCACAAGGTTCGGGCATAGCAGCTCCCGAGAAAGGGCAACCAGTCAACAGCGCCCATCACCTACACGGCTACTCTTCATCGAATAATAGGGTTGACTGTCACTTTCACAATGCACTTACATACAGGAAAAAATACGAAAATAATAAAGTTAGAAAGAAAAGCAACATTTTCTGATAGCTCAAGTAAGAGGTAACAAACTTGTGACGAATCATTGACTGGACACTTTATTAGAAGTCTGATTTAATGTGATATGTAGACATATCATACTTTCTACCTGCTTTTATTAATATAAAATAATCTAAATTTTCTAAATCAATTTTTATTCAGTTTTAGCATAAAAATATTGAAGTTGTTTTTATATTTGGCTGTCTCTTTGTTGTTCTCTATAGCAGATAGTACCTACTTTGCAGGTGGAAATGTTGCTGCAACTCCACATTTAGTGTAGAAAGTAATGTCCATCACTTGCCAAGTGAATGATGTCTGCATGTTACAGCCCTCAAATGCTGTAAGAGAACGACCAGTCACGTGGTTAACACTCACCGTAAGTGAATAGGACCAAATATATCGGTTAGTATGAAGCTATAGTCTTATGTTCTTTTCTACTTGGTTTTAAAAGTGATTAGTTTGATAGAGATTTATCCCAAGAGAAAGAAAGCTGCCTACATATTCACTGATCCACTAGAAGCAATCCTGTGTCTATGCAAGTACGCACACATTGTTTTTTATGTTACATCACAGTACCCAGTCTGCTTATTTCTCACACACACCTTAAAACCAAGTTATTAGTTAAACACAGATAAATTTTCAAATTTTATTCACGAACCTCCAGTTATCAAGTGGACCTATATGATACTTGCGCGGAAATCGGTTTACCTCAGAATACCACACTAATAACAATTTGACCACTATTTTTCAAACTAACCATAACATGCCTAAATCGCCATAGATACAGGGGACAAGTAATCATCTGAAGCATCATATGATCATTATTTTACGTATATAGATAAATGAAGTATTTCACAGATTTGTGTATGGGAGGTTGTGAGGGCTCATCTAGTAGTTAGTCAACGTATAGGAAACATGTATGACGTTTTGTCATTTCGTTAGTCACAGATACAATACAATATTTGTATTTGAACCACTCATGTCTAAACATTTAAACAGAATGAAATAAAGGACTTAGAAATTGTAACGCTACTCTGTTCGCAATTTCGTTGTAGATACGTTCGTTAACTTTAGGTAAGAAAAACCATTTGAAGTCAACGTGAGACGCCATGACGTATTTTAATACATGCGTTTCAAGAATGTGGTTTTATACCACAGACGGGTGATTCACGATAGTGTCCATCTTACAGTAATATAATTTGGGAAAACGGATGTCTGTCCGTTGGGTTTGCATTTAGCTGAGCCGTTCCTTTTATTTTTTTTTTTCACGGTCAGCGCTACGTCAGAGTACGGTTATTCGATCATGTCCCTGATGGTGCAAGTATTGAAGATGCTGCTTACAAGGACGTTTTTTAAACAACTCTTTCAATATAACTTTGATAGTCCTTAGTTTTAGACCATGACGGAACAATAATATTTGGGAAAATGGATATTCATCCGACCGTTGCGTATGAATATAAAGAAAAGAATAAGAAATACGCAAAAAAATAATTATACGTATATGTGTAAGGCCGACTATGGGCGACTCGTATGGATGCATGCTAATTTTTGTATGTGTTCTTAAAATTTATCAAAAATTCTTTTTTTGCCGCAAAAATTTTAAATTGTAATTATCACGATTTTCTAAAAGATAATTTTTACAATGTGGTGTTTGTCGTTTCATACTAATAAAAAATATGTCAAAATTTTGTATTTTAAAGAAAACACACTTAAATAAACATGTTTAAACATGTTTTTATTTGAACTTCTAATAGGTTTCCTGTGAAATGATCTAAAATTTTGTCTACAAATTCATTACTTTGTTGAAATCTGAGAATTTAGTTTACAAGTGCAAAAACATGGAGGGCTAATTGAAACGTTTGCAGGAGGTGTGTTTTAAAGTCGTTCAGCTGTTATAAGTTCATAAACAGAGTTCATATTCACAATATCAACATTGCCAGAGATGGATTTTTAGTTTTGAAACAACTTTTAGAAAGAGCATATCTTAGTTGCTAAATATTCGATTAGGTAAGGATGGGAACTGAGTAAAATATACCGCTGTAGACGGTTGACATTTTCAGCTACAAGGAATTTATAACTAAGTATTCGGTTCATAGTAGCAACGTAAACGACGGGCAGCGAAGATTTTACTGTTTGTATTATTGGGGTTAATTGTTCATGTGGACACGAACAGTGTTTATTTCATTTCATATAAAAAAAAATTATTTTGTTTGTTTTTGAATTTCGCGCAAAGCTACACGAAGGCTATCTGCGCTCGCCGTCCCTAATTCAGCAGTGTAAGACTAGAGGGAAGGCAATAAAGCACCACCCACCGCCAACTCTTGGGCTACTCTTTTACCAACGAATAGTGGGATTGATCGTCACATTATAACGCCCCCACGGCTGAAAGGGCGAGCATGTTCGAACCCGCGACTCTCGGATTGCGAGTCGAGCGCCCTAACCTCCTGGCCATGCTGGGCCAAGAATTTAGTACTCATCTGTATAATTATAAATACAGTAGCAGATGTTTTTTGTAGAATCATTCTCGTAAGCCTAAGCTACACGCCAGTGGTCCCATGTAACTTTGATTGAGAGATTTAGGAACACACTCTGTTGTTGCAAATTTATCTTTAGAATTTTGATGTTATATGCAAAGCATTCCTAAGTTACCTTTACTGAATGAGTGAATAAGTCACTATATTAGTGCAATTTTCTTTGTAGTCCAAGTTATGAGCCAATATATTAATATGTTATTTTTCACTGAGAATATATATATATATATATATATGTTCCCGCCTGTCTGATTCAAAACCAAGCTGATGTTCTATGATTCCAGTGTAACATTCATTTCAACTCTTC